AGCAAGACTCAGCTGTATGCTAGTGACAAGACATGCATATTAAATACAAAACTACAGAGAGCATAAACATAAAAGGATGGCAAAAGATACCATACATAAGAAAGCTGGTGTGACTATATTAACATTGGACAAAGTAGGCTTGATGATAAAGAATGTTAACAGAGATAAAGAAGGATATTTTACAATTAATAAACTAGTCAATGTAGAAAGACTTAATAATCCTAAGTGTGTATGGACCTAATAATAGAGATTAAAAATACATGAAACAAAAGCAACGACACCTAAAGAGAGAAAGATAAATGCAAATTATAAATGGAAGATTTAAAATACATCTCTCAGTAAGTGTTCTATAACAGGAAAAAAATCAAGAGAAAATTATGTATCAACATTTAAAATACCTTAAAACACAAAAATAACCAATACTTACACAGAAGGAAATAGAAAATATGTGTATCTCTATATTTTTTTTTACTTTTTTTATTGATTCATAATCATTTTACAGTGTTGTGTCAAATTCCAGTGTTCAGCACAATTTTTCAGTCATTCATGGACATATACACACTCTATATACATATCTCTATATTTTTTAAAAAGGAAATTTATTTTAAAAACTTCCCAAAAGGATATCTAAAGCCTAAGATGGTTTCAACGTTAAATTCTATCAAATATTTAAGGAAGTAATATTCTTAAAAAAACTCTTTTAGAAAAGAGGATAATAAAGAACACTTTCCTGTTTATTTTTTAAGACAGCATAACCCCAATAACATGACCTGACAATACTACAAGAAATGAAAATAATAAAATAATAAGCCTCATAAATATAGATGTAAAAATCCTTGAAAAAATATTGGCAGTTGAATACAAAAATATATGAAATGGATAATATCACACGACTAAGTTAGCTTTATCCTAAGAATGCAGGACTGAGCTGCCACTCAAAAATCAATCAGCATAATTCACAGCATTAACAGAATAATAGAACAAAGCCATGTGATGTTATCAATAGATGCAGGAAAATCATTTGTCAAAATTCAACATCGATTTATGGAAAAAATTTCTCAATACAGTAATAGAAAAGAATTTTCTCAATCTAATGAAAGGATTTACAACAAAACAAAAATAACAGCAAACATCATACTTCGTGGCAAAATATTGGATGCTTTTTCCCAAGATCAGTAGTTATTTACCTTCATGATTTATTTTTATTTTGGCACTGGAGGTCCTAGCCAGTGCAATAAAGTAAAAAAATGTAAACTCATAAAGATTGGAAAAGAAGAAGTAGAACTATCTTTACTTGTAGGCAACATAATAGTTTATATAAAATATACTAAGTAATCTAAAAAAACAGTTAAAACTGATAAGATAATATAGTTAGTTCGTAGTATTCAGGGGAAATACACAAAAATCAAATGAATTTCTGTATATTAGTGGCAAAAATTGGAAAATACAATTAGGAAAAAATCCATTAATAATAACATTAAAGCATAAAACATTTAGAAATATTTACAGTAAAAGATAAGTTAAGTCTCTCTACAGGTGACTACAAAACATTGCTGATAGAAATAAAACAAGACCAAAATGAATGAATGTTTTGAGTCAGGAGACTACATACTTTCAAGGTGTCTATTTTCTCTAGATGGATCTATAGAGTTGATAAAATCATAATCAAAATCCCAACAGACATTTTGGTAGAAATTGACATGTTGATTCTAAAATATACATAGAAATTTACAAAACATAGAACAGCCAGAGAAACCTTTAAACAGAAGAACATTTTGGAAAAGCCACAGTACCTGATTTTGAGACTTTCTATAAAGGCTATTGTAATCAAGATGGCAAGGCATTGGCATAAGAAGAGGCAAATTCATCAGAGAAACAGAACAGAGTCCAGAAATAAACACACACGTAAATGGTCTTGATTTTCATCAAAGGTATCAAGACAAATCCGTGAAGAAAAGAAAAGCCTTTTAACAGGTGGTGCTAGAATAACAGGATAATGCTGCTAGAACAAAAATTAACCTCAATCTCTACCTCACACTACATAAAAAAGTTAATTTGAGATACATTACAGACCTAATTGAGAAAGATAGAATTCTAAAGTAAAGGAGAAGTGAGGTGGTACTCATGACCATTAACAAGGGTATGATTTTAGATACTGAAAGGATCTTAGAATCAACTCTGTCCACATTACGGATGAAAAAACTGGCTCAGAGAGGTAACAGTTTGCCCAGCATCACACTGACAGTGTATCTTGGTTCCACATTAGTATTCTCATTTCATTTATTCCTACTTTTTAGGATTTTCCCAGAAAGCTAATCTTAACAGTTGTCAGGGTAGCCTGACAGTATCCCAAGTTCAGTTGTGACAGTTTATTGTCTGCATTCAAGTCTAAGTCTACAACATATCAATCAAAATATACAGTAAGATGTAAATTAAAATTTCTGATCTGATACATAGAAAAAAAGTAGTTGAGAACAGAAGTGATGGTGCCTCATATCTGATTCATGAGACATGATCTATCAATTAAAGGACCATTCGAGAAGTAAATGCTGAACACCCCCTTCACGTCAAGGAGTCATTGAGATAAAACAAATGTAAAACATTATTCTATTCCAGAATCTGAGCTATTTCTTTAAAAAGTTATTAAGTGATATCTTTATGAAAAACACTATGTACATGATTTAATTTAATTTAATCCCTACAAAATTCTGGTTGGTAGGGATTATCTCCTCCATTTTATAGGAGAAAACTGATGCACAGAATGGTTAAATTACTTTGTCCACAGTTATAAGATTATTAGGTAGTGGGATCAGGATTTAAAGTCAGGTTTGCTGGATTTCAGAACTCAAACTGTTAACTTCTCTACAATATTGCCTGTTATTATTGCTACCAATGGCTCCTACTTATTGAATTCCATTTATGCCAGGCACACTAAATTATATCGTCTATATACCTTTACATATATATGTATATATATGTGTGTGTATATATATATATATATATATATATATATATATATATATATATA